CACACTTTTGCATGCGCATTTTGCATGCAGGTGTACGACGGCCAATTCTACATTGATTTTTTTTACAAGGCATTTTTAACCACTACACATCTTCTAAGGACATATACTTCATATCTTTCGATGCAAAACTTGCCTTAAATAATCTCGTCAGAATCTGAGTAAGTCATACTATTTTATAAGTGGAACTAATCCAAGCTGTGATATTGACCAAAATATCGATAACTAAAAAAAACTCGTTCAATATCATTTCATGTGTGGAATTTTCACCCACTTCATGGGCTAAGTGCCTCTTTTTTCCCAAATGATAATAATTTCCATGTATTACAATGCTTTTATGAATTCCGTAGGTGCATGCAATATATTCAATTGATATTATCGAATCACTTGCTCCATTTCATTTTATTGCATTAGGCGTTCTTTATGACTATTATAAAAGATTATTTGGACTACACTTGACCGATAATAACGACGATGTGTATCTTCATTTTATTCTTATTGACAAAACATATTCCAGGAAATTATTTTCAATGTCAACGTTCGAATATAATAATTGGATAGCCAATAATAAATGTCATCGATTCTAGAGAGGCGGAATTGTCTCGGATTTTTAGCAAATTAAATCCATTGCAAGTGCAAATACAACTTCAACTTTTGGGTTATAATACTTCAAGTGCCACGTCAAGTGGATTCACTTTATCAAAAGTTTAATATCGGTGGAGCTAAAGAACAGTCGATTAAATTCAAATAAAATATTCGACTCGGTGTTTGATGATATAGAGTCCGGTAGATTTCTAGCTGTTCATAATTATGATGTATTTTAGCGCTTTAAACTAAATATACATAAATAAAATTGACATTCTAATTGAAAATAAGTGTAAACGTTATATTTCAAGTTCATCACATTTTTGTTGTATGCAAAATGGCCAAGAAAAAAATTCATTTTTGATGGAATTTGGAAATAGAAGCTTCCATTTTTCGCCCATTTTGCATTTTTTTTTATCAATGATTTGACCGCTTTTGGAACCTTTTCAATTGTGAACTTTGTTGTTGATAAAAAACATTCATGTTCTTTCTATTCATTGTTGTGAGATTGTTATGTTTTGGATTATATGGCAAGGTCTATCAAGGTATTTTTAGCCAATGATAAAGAAAATTTATAAACACTTATCATTTTCTCATCTTGCACTAAAATTTGAATGATAAAAAAATTATCAGCAACATTCGGGCGAATTTATTGAAGGAGTTGGGTTTGAATTTATATGAATTAACATTCATTTGGCTCTGATAAGTGACGATACGATTTAACGACAGTTCCAGCAAAATAAAAAATGTTTACAATAAGCTGAGAAATTGAGATCGATACAAAACGAAACATACCTTCTTGAGGTTTTAATAAAAATAGCTCACATTTATCGCTCGAGAGAGATGTTGGCGAAACATCACCGAACATGCTCCGAGCGGTAAAAAAAATTATTCGATCACCACAATATTATGATATTTGATGTGCGATGCACGAGAGCCCGCTACGAATACGATGCGGATTTGTTGAAACTAGAGAAAGAGAAAAAGGCAATTTTCATTTATTTTTAGCCTGTGTGTGAAGTGGTAACAGTTGCTGCTCTCCAACATACATTCGAATCAATAGAGAAATGTAAATACGCCCGTTATTTTTCTTTTGCTTCATGCATAAAAATATGTATATATAGTATACTGTGTGATCTGTTTTTTTTTATTTCTCTCTTGTTCGATGCGACCAATTTTCCGAGGAAATTCTAAACTTGTTTTCCAACTCAACGTTTTTTTCTCTCGTTGTGTGTTCAAGATTTTATTTTTGCTTATCTATTTCAAATGGTGCGAACATAATTTAGTAACATTTAGTGTCTGACCGTAATGCCAATCGATACAATTCTTTTCTAGGGCAGCTCATGAAAAATTGGTACAGACAAGAACTTGTTGAGCGACCGAGAGAAAAGGAAAACAATGCCAAACTGTAACAACTTGGGAAAAAAGAGACATTATTTCAGTTCAGTAGTTCGGCATTGAAAATGAAACATAACAAACAGATTCAGAGAAGAAAAAAACAATTACGTCGTCATCGAATGTAAAGCGCGTCCGGAAATATTTTCACGTCTACTGACGTCCGTAGTTTTTTTTTCTTTTTTTCTCTTGCTTTTGCTCGCCTCCTTTCTGTTAACTGTCTTATTTGTGAATCAAATTAGTGCGATATTCTTCTTCGGCTGCTTAGAAAATAGTATATTTTTAAAAGGAATGCTAAATGAATATTCAACACAAAACGTACAACCGACATATTAATCTGTCTCGCTGATTAGATATTATCTTGCAAATCATCAATCACGTATGTTTTAGATCGATTGCCAACGCGGTGCACAACTACGACAATTTTTGGGCGATTCACTTTTTTATTTTTTTTTTTTTGCTGTTCTTCATCTTCGAAAAATCGTCGCGCATCATTTAATTGATTCACATTCTTACAAGCGCCGCTCACAAAACTCTTCGCTCGCTTCTTTTTCTAGGTCACACATTTTCGCTCGGAATTAATTAGTCAATTTTTGAAACGAGCTATTGATTTGTACATTTTCGTTGGCTTTCTGCAAATTTTTCTCATCTCTTTTGTGGGATGAAAGTGGTTTTTTCGAGCATGTGAACGACTTGTTTCTGATTCAATTTTTGAAATTGCATTCATTTATTTGGATTGATAATGAATTTCTGTCTGGGATTTGTGGAAAATTGAATTCTTCGCTCTCATTCATAATAATTTGAATTGATGAAAAAAAGCGATTGAACATGACGAAAATTAATCGAAGATTTTTCTCATGTAGGTGACGAAGCGTTGTATAACACCGGAAAATATGAAAATAGAATATATACGAAATGTATCTATCTTTCGGACACTTAAAACACCGTCGATTCTGGATTTAAGCATCAGATAAACACGGAAAATACGATTCCCGTGGAGATATTCCGATCATGTTATGAATGAGGTGCCTGTGAATATGACTTGAATATGTGAGTAGTATTGAGCAGTAATACTGCCGCAGAATACTATTGATAAGGAAATTTTTTCGATTAATTTTATTTTGAAACGGTGATAACGACAAGTCAATGAATTGTTTTCTTGCATTTTTCCAATACACCAAATGTTCAACTTGAACTAAGAGCCGACCAAAGTTGTAGATTAAATAAATCAATGTTTTCAAGATCAGATTTTCGGCAATTTTCAAGTATTCGATGAAAATTTCACCCAACGAAACGATTGAAAATATTTCTTGTATTTATTTTAAGTGCTATGCTTTTTTTTCGTCATCGAGAAGAGAAAAAAAAATTATTGAAATAATTTTTTGCTCAATTTAGTGGGATGTATGTATGTTTCACGGATTTTCGACGTTTTAATGTATTTTGATTCGGGTTTGGCTGATGTGGAATCATGGAAAATTATATATATATTTTTTGGTTTTTTCTTAAACAACACCGCCTACAAACAACTGCTCAATGGAACAACGATACAGTTTTTTTTTCTCTTCTTCTTTCCGATTTTAATGTAAACCACGTAAAAAAACGGCAAAATCAAATGAAGAAATATGCGCGCTTTCGCCTAAATAAATATCGTCGGTGTTTAAATATAGCCGGATCGAAGTATGTAAGCACCGTGCAATCCGGTGTATGTATATATTCTCTCTCTCTCTCTTGCTCTCATGACATATGAGTGCAGGCCCGTTTTTGTTGTTGTTTGCTCTTTCGTTTTTCAACATAGTACAAAAGCATCTGGCTGATGATATGAGGTAATATCGCATTCGCATATATTTAGGGAAAAAAAATAGATGATAGCAGGCACTGAATGGATTTCTTGTAGTGCGAATGATACAGAAATAGCCGAAAATAATAAATGATCAGGCGAGAGAGATCTGTAGATGTGTAACGTATCATCAACGATTGGATTGAAAACGTTGGCGATTTTTGCGACGGTGTGCGTGAATCCGATTTTTCCGAGCCGAGCTCAGCTCAACGACTAGGTGTTGCTCTAGCTTCTGTTAGTTTTAGTTCACTCGCAGCATCGGTTCGACGACGTCTGCTGACCGTTTTCTTTTATTTTTCTGAATTTGTAAAGTAAGTTCCAATTTCATCCAAAGTCAGCAAAATACTTGCAATTTTTTTTTCGATTCTTCATCACTTCCAATGAGCACCAAAAAAAGGATTCATTTTCTCTGATCAATTTGGAATTCGCATTTTCGAGAAGAATTAAAAAAAAATGTGGAAAAATTGGTCAAAAGTTTTCTAAAAATGAAGTTTCATTTTATTGAATTTTTTGTCTGAATAAAAATTGTCTGTGGCGAGAGTGAAAATCTGTGTAAAGTGTGTGTGAAAAATCAGCATAAAAGTTTTCAAGTGAACAACTTGGGATTTTCAAGGATCAAGTGACATGGTCAACGATTTTTTTCTCGTCAATCGAAAACACCTTTTTTTTATCTCATACTACGAAAATTCATAAATTTTCTTGCAGCTTTGCGAATTTTAATTAAAAACGAACCAAAAGTATTGTGTTGATTAATGTGTGTATGGAAGATGTGATAAATTTCAACATTGTTAATGGAATAGTGGAATTCATTCGATACGTCATTACTCCCGACACACCGAGATTTCCTCGGGTTGTACATTGAGAACAGAAAAAAAAAACAAATTCCAAAAGAATAAAAATATTTTTTTTTCCTTCCATCAAAGCAAATATTCATCTAGTCAATCACACAAATTCACATGCACATATATACACATTCACACGCCTCGACTCATTCAATTCGTGCGCTTGGTGGCGAGCACATTTTCTATTTTTGCGATGTAGCCAAATTATTTTGTTGTTGCTTTACTTTTATTTTGCCTATGCGCCTCGGTCCTGTTTTGGTGCGATCTTCGCTGAATGTGTGACCATCTCACACATTTACGTTTCGAAAACATAAACGGCAAATGAATGATGAAAGAAAGAAAAAAAGAAAACGTTAACGGTTCACATTTTCGCTTTTGTGTGTCTCGTCCATATTCGCTTCAATCGAAATGTGAACAACAAAAACATACACACACGGTTAAAAATATTTTTCGATCTTCGTACCAATCGTCGTATTGTATTCGCATTGAGTGTGCGCAATGCCAACTTCCTTTCGTATAAAAAATTCAATTCGATTCGATCGAAGCCGATTTCGCAGAAAGTGGCCAAATATTTGAACAAATGCCCAACATTTTATCAATTTCTCCCTGCGAACCACAAATGGAATTGGCCAATAGCGCCCTTGCACATACCATAATTACGATCATACCTTTGCTTGTGCGCACAGAACAAATGACAGTAAATTCCATTTCAAGTTATTTTCAACCGCCTTCAAAGACACGCATCCGTTTCCCACAAACTAGGCCCGTGCAGTGGAAATGTCGAAATATGGAGCACAACGTATGGAGCGAAGAGAATATTTCGACGTGGGCGCCGTGCGATTAGTTCATTTTCAACTTCAATAACAACAGAAAAAAAAATCGAAATATAATTCACCGACAAACACTTACTAAATATGTGACACGATAGGCGCATTCTAAATATAGCCACCGTGTCGGCACAGTGTGAAAACTTCCCACAAAAAGCCAAGTGGCTTTTCTATATCTACGGACGGCGAAATTATTAGAAAAGGATGTTGGTGTTATATAAAAGAGTATGTGCAAATGATGACTACGACGACGGCCAGAGAGAGAGAAATGGTGGCCGCTCCCAAAATGATTGCATAAAAATCAACAGGCGAACGTAAAAAAAACACACACACATACTTCGTGATTATTATCGCACGAGACACACAAACAAACATGTTTCACATTTTCACTTTTTAGTTCTATTTTTTTTCTCTGCTCATTTCACTCTCTCTCTCTCTCTCTCTCTCTCTCACGGGCGAGTGACGCGCGCGCGCGTACACACACACGGTGTTGCTTTGTGTCGATCTCACACTCGATTACAGAACGCATTCCTTTTTGAACAGTCAGCAGCATATGTGGGTGTTTTTCTATAATAAAAATGTATGCTCCGTTGCCTGCGATGAAAATAGCCATTGTGAAATGGCAACACGAATCTATTTCTTTTTTGGCCGATTGAACTGTTGTCGTCGTCGTCGTCGACATCGAATTTTGCGTTTTTATTCATTCCAAATCGTTGGGCTACAAATTCCCAATCATCAGAAGAGAAAAACGAAATTCGCTCATATATTTTGTTCGCATATTTTAGGTTTTAAAAAACCCCTTTCACCATGTCTGATGAAGAAGAATACTCGTAAGTATCCCGTTTACCTTCACCGTCGATTAAATGTTATTTTTATCATTTTCTTATTGTTTTTCTCTCTCTATTCTTTCGTTAATTTTGTTGAATAATTCTTTTTTTATGTTGGGGCTATGATCCCTCTTTGTAGACGTGACTTTTTTTTCATTCTCTTTCAATGTTTCCGTTCCTCTGTTTTTGGAAACTAACTCTCTTTTTTTTTGTTCAAAAATAAATTGATGACTAATTTTTACAAATTTTCTCCCCCCACCAAAAAAAAACCAATTCATATCAAAAGATCCGAAGAGGAGGTCGTCGAGGAAGTTCACGAAACGTAAGTGGTTCACAATTAGTCAGCGTTTGAGCCTATATCGCATTTGAAGTAAAAAAAAAACAGCACAATTAAAAAGCAAATAGCAAATCTAACCAGTTTAATTTGATTTTGTTGGTATTTAGTCGACAGAGAATTTTCTCTCGCTCACACAAACACACACACTCTCTCTCTATCTCTCTTTCGCTAACACTTCGGAATGGTACAGAGTTGATTTCTTGTAAATATTGACTATTTTGTGCCGAATGTAGTAGTAATTCATCGTCTATTCTCGATCTCATTTCACATTGTAATGTAAATATTGTTGTACATATCATTTAGAATTCGAATCCTTTTCTTTCTTCTCTCTCTCTCTACCTCTCTCTCTCTCACTATATTTATCTCTGATGCGGCGTCTGACTTTTCGCTTGGGCGATTTTCTTGATTATTTTCTCAATGTTTTTTTCTCTAATTCTCTGCCGTCGTCGTCGTCGTTGTCGTTGTCTATTTGCAACGTAAAGCTTCTGTTACATTTCTTTCAATCACGCGAATCATGAACAAGGCCAAGTCGATGCTCACAACTCAAAATAAATTATGATGATTTCAAGAACTTGACACTAATTTATAAACATAAAAAAAATAATGCAAATCCGTCATGTCGTGTGACAGGATAACACAACTAAAAATGTTTTACTTTGCGATCGCTTTAAAATATAATTCAACTCAATTGAAATTGTGTACGCACACACACAACACGGCTATTGTCAAGAGATGCATGACAATTTAAAAAAAATTACTAAGCCTAACTGCAATATATATACTCAAGGCAAACTAACGGCGTTCTTACAACAGCAACAATAAAAAAACGCTCGAAATCTAACTCAAAACCAAGTTGACAATCGATACTAAATCTGGTTATTTTCTATTTCTTTTTGTTTTACAGGAAGTAAGTGTGCTATTGTCCAGTCACTGATAAATGAGCTGCGTTGAATAAAACAAAATGATTTCCAATTGATTTGTGTTTGCGTCATAGAAATTGAAATTGAATCGACGAAGGGGTTTTCTGAGGAAAAATAATACTTTTAGATTGTAGTCAGTTTTCGTAATGTCGTGCTTTGCACCTGTAGAATTTTTCTTCTTCTTCTTCTTCTTCTTCTTCTGTTTCATTCAAACCAAAGAAAAGCAAATTATTTTTGGACAATTCGTTTCACTTGTAGACTCTTTTGAAGAAGAGGTTTTGTATCGGTGTAGTTAAAATTAGTTTCAAGGTAAAGACTAAATCAGTATCAGAGCGAGACGCGTAGCCTAATGTAGAAATCAATTTCATTTTTCGAGCATTTTTCTTTCTCGTTAGTTTAACTCAAACTCGATCACATGCATTTAGACAGTGTTTTTTTAAAAACAGTAGCAAACAATTTAGAAGGTAGTTTGTAATGAATCTGATCACATAAAGGTTTGTTAATTTCTTATTGCATAATGTTTTTTTTCTATTTTCTTTTTTTTTTGGTTTGGTTCCCGGTCACCTTTTTTTGCTGTTTTGTTTAAAACTATGTTTTCCCTCCCCGTACAAATCAATCAAACCAACCAACCACAAAACAAAAACAATACAAACACCAAATCAATGTTTTTGTCCAATGCGACGTCGTCTAAAAACATTACCACATTTATTTTGTGTTTTTCCAAACAAAAAACAAACAAATACACATTGATTCATTCGATCGTATCCTGCAAATAAATACGTATATACGAATACTTCAAATCCACCACCACCACCAAAACCACCACCACCACCACCACCACCATACATATATACAAATCAATCAAATCATGTCATATCCTGTGAACACACACTTTGTATTTGGCGATGCCGTTGTTTTCTTGCAGGACTGTGACAAAAACCGAGTAAGTTTTTGGTGCTCACAAACACGTGTTTTTTTTCTCTCTCTCAGATTGCATTTTGCTGAACAAATAACGTTATAATCAATTCAAAATTTACATAAGCAAAACCGTCCATTTTTTTCTCATTTCGGCAAATAATTGTTTTTTAAGTCAAAATTTAGTTTAACTTTTTTTTGATCGGTTTTTTTTTTTGGCCGAATTCAGCTTTTAACTCGGGATCATTTTTTTCTGTTACATTTTCTTTTTTTTCTCAATTGAAAATCGTACACTCGCATTGACTCGCATTGACTCGCATATACACCGTTTACATCTGTGACTACGCCAAAAAATAACGACCGAAAAGTAAAAGAATATTCCAGTTCTTAAGAGCACACGTTTTAACCAAATCCCACACGCACACACAGAATTCCCTTTATGGACAAATACAAAAAAAAAATTACTACCACAACAAAAGCACTCTTTGGATTCAAACAAAAACCTTTTATTCGCCCGAACAAATTAACACTTTAACACCATTGTGATCAACAAAATCTTTTTTTAGCGTATAATTCGCCCTTTTTGTTCGATTTGATGAAAAAATGTTTAATGAACGAGTTTGATGATCTCAATGCACAGGCACAAACATGAAAGCACAAGCAAACAAGCACAAACAGAACTTGATAACCTTATAGCGAAAAAAATGTCTGCATGTTTAAACCCTTCAGTAAATGAATGTACTTTAGTGTTTAAATTATTGCATTTTGACGTAAAAGCTTTCAATTCAAAATGATTTAAATTTTTTCTATTAAATTACAACTTTTCTGGGTACAAAGTAAGGGTGAGCTAAAATCAAATCTAAACCAAATTTTGTCCACTAAAGAAAAATAGCTCACCCGAACTTTACCATGAAACAAAATCCGTAATGGTTAAGAAAGCAACGCATTTCAACGGGCAAACCATAACCGGTTGACCGTTTGAGCAACGCATAAGACTTAAACGAAAATTGTGTATTCCGATTATGACCGTATCATTTGTGTGTCATTGATTGAACAGAGACTCGGGAGATCCAGAGTTCGTCAAGCGTCAAGACCAAAAACGTTGCGATCTCGATGATCAGTTGAAGGATTACATTTCCGAATGGCGTAAACAACGTGCCAAGGAAGAAGATGAGTTGAAAAAGCTCAAGGAGAAGCAAGCCAAACGTAAGGTCACCCGTGCCGAAGAAGAACAACGTATGGCTCAACGCAAGAAGGAAGAAGAAGAGCGTCGCGTTCGTGAAATCGAAGAGAAGAAACAACGCGATATAGAAGAAAAGCGTCAACGTTTGGAAGAAGCCGAAAAGAAACGCCAGGCTATGCTCCAAGCCATGAAAGACAAGGACAAGAAGGGGCCAAATTTCACCATCCAAAAGAAAGAGGGCGCACTCGGTTTGTCGGGCAGTGCCATCGAGCGCAACAAGACCAAAGAACAATTGGAAGAAGAAAAGAAAATCTCATTGTCGTTCCGTATCAAGCCATTGGAAGTCGAAGGTTTGGGTGAGGATGTACTTCGCAAGAAGGCCACCGAATTGTGGGAATTGATCGTTAAATTGGAAACGGAAAAATACGATTTGGAAGAACGGCAAAAGCGTCAGGACTACGACTTGAAGGAATTGAAAGAAAGACAAAAGCAACAACTCCGGCACAAGGCTTTGAAGAAGGGTCTAGATCCAGAAGCTTTGACAGGCAAATACCCAGTACGTGGACCCCTAAATGTGATGCAATCCCACTTTTATTCATCACACCAGACAATGTCTAACTAATGCATTTCTCTCTTGTTTTCTCTTTCTTGTTTTCATCAAACAGCCAAAGATCCAAGTCGCCTCCAAATATGAACGACGTGTCGACACCCGCTCATACGACGACAAGAAGAAACTCTTCGAAGGTGTAAGTATTCACGTTTCCATTTCCTCTGTCTTTTCTTTTTACCTTTGGCACTTGTTTACTTATCGAAATTTATCCCCATTTTCTTTGCATTTGAAATGAAATGAGATTAAATCGCGTCATTAAATTTTAAAAGGGATACACAACGATCTGCTGTGAATTGGCTAATAAACGGTGGCAAGAAAAGAATGAATTTTTCATGAAACGTACAAAAAGTGAGTGGGCAAAGACTCGAATTTAAATGTTTACGTGTTATATGTGTACATGACGCGATCCCCGACTGTTTTCTCTCTCTCTCTCTCTCTTGATTTTCTGTGTGCCCATTTGTTCGTTTATGTCAATCACCCGTTTCAAAACTCGCTGAAATTTCTGATGATGTATATCACTTTCCAATGAAGAAGAAAGTATCCACAAGCGGCTAAAACGACCATTCCACCGATTCGATCGTTCGATTAGATAAACAAATGTGCATGACTCTCTACATGTTAAACAAATCACACATCCAAATTCACAATGTTCCAATTTCCATTTGTTTTTGTTTTATGTCTGTCCATAACAGGGTATAATGGAGAACTACAAAGAACACCTGGAAAAGAACTGGGCCGAAAAGAAAGATTCACACCAAGGCCGCCAAAGAGGTAAACGTTCTCATCTCGGTGCATTTTTTCTTTCTCTTAACAAAAACCATCAACATCCAAATATCCATTCCAACAAATCGTTTTGGTGAACATAACACAACATTTTTTTTTAATCATTCATTTGTATATGATCACGTTGAGATCAGTGAAAAGTGAGAAGATCAAATTCTAAAATGCATTATATTTTGTAGCCCGTCTTCCAAAATGGTTCGGTGAACGACCAGGCAAGAAAACCGGCGATCCAGAAACACCAGAAGGTTTGTGTTGCATTTTTACTTTGGAAACTTTCAGGGAAAATTATACCATTTTAAAGTTTTTTGAATTAATTTGTCAAAATGAATAACTTTGAATTGATAAAAATAACCAAATTGATGCTTCGTTGTGCAGGTGAAGAAGATGCCAAGGCCGAAGATGCTGAAGTCGATGATGAAGCCGAGGAAGTCGAAGAAGTAGAGGAAGTTGAAGGTAAGTGGCGTGTGTGACTGACAGCTTGTGTCAAACATTGCAATACATCGCTGCTACCATGGCACATACATTCAAGCTCAGCAGAATATTTTATTTTTTTTTGCTTTTCTTTAAAACGCATTCATTTCAAATTATGCTTTCTTTTTATTTTTTTTGCTATTCGAAATTTGTTCATTGCTCAGGTGAACAAGATGAAGAGGAAGAAGAGGGTAAGATGCTTATTAATTGCCGCTATTTCATTTGACGATTGCGAACTAACTTTTCTCCAAACGCTTAATTAAATGCTAAAAAACATTTTTAAAAGCACAAACAAAAATTGAGAAAATTTAGATCACATTCACACACAATTCGAAATTGGATATTTTTTTTTTATTTAAAATTTTTAATTCACACTTTTTTCATTTCCAATCGTTTCGGTCAAATTCATCAAATTAGAAGAAGACGAAGAAGAAGAAGGTAATAATCGGCGCTAAATTCATTGCTTTTGCGCACTTTTTTTACACATTCCATTGAGATTTGCATTTTTATATAAACAATTTACATTGAATCTATATCAGATTTTATTAGAATTCACATAAATTTCATGAAACAAAAATGACTAATGCATTCGTTTTCTCTATCAATTCCATGTACCATTTTCACCCTAAAGAAGAGGAAGAAGAAGAGGAAGGTAAGTGATCGAGTTGAAGAGAAAAAATGAATCGTTTGCTATTGTGACACAATCTAAATTGTTTACTCTTCTTTCTTTTCCATATACTCAATTCAAACCAACAGAAGAAGAAGAAGAGGAAGAGGAAGAAGGTAGGTCACCCCCAAAAAAGTTGCAATTTTAAAAATTCCAATAAGTTCAAAGCTAATTAAATTTTTTCATCTCTTTATTCCATGTACACCACTTTTCCACCCAAAACAGAAGAAGAAGAGGAAGAATAAACACCATAATCACAAATGTATAGCATTTTGCCAAACTCTTTTTACATCATTCAAAATCAAAGAAAATAAACAATGGAAATCTAACCAAATCATGAACTCTGTTTTTCGTTTCTCGTTCTATTCTTTCTCTTTTCCCGATATTCATACGTACATGTCGTCAATTATTTCCATGGCCTACCACAGAATTCCTTTTTACACAAGAATAATTCAAACCGTGTCATCATCCTTCAACAAACTCTGCCTAAATATAGACTCAGACAACCGAGATTCAAGAAAAATCAATCATTGATGATGTAAATAAACACTTGTATGAACGAAAATCAAAATGTCAAGCAAAAGTTTAACTCTGTGTTTGTTTCCAAAATAAAAAAGCAAGCTTAAATTTATTTCATTCATTACGTTTTATTTTATTTGTATAAGCAACTTTTGATGCAATGATGTAAATCTACAGATTTTTTGTTTCTTTTTCTTTATAAAAATGGAAATAAAACGGATATTTATTTAAAATTCATACAAAACAATCAAAAATCTGGTATTTGATTTTATTTCGTCCATTAAAATTGTTGTACCTGGTTAATGTGTGGCAGAATACACTTGATTGCCGGCGATCCATGTGGATCGAACGCTTAAGTCATCGTTGAGCATAACAAAGTCAGCATCAGCATCAAAATCTAAGGTTCCTTTAGATTTCTCGATGCCTAAACACTTGGCCGGGTGCAAAGTGGCCGCCTCAATTGCGAACACAGTCGAACAACCTACATTGAGATTGATTGAGAAAACCAAAATATTGAGATGGGCCTTACAATTGGTCGAGTAAAACCAAAATTGTTTGGAGAAAATTATCATTAAAACCAATTAAGAATCAGGCCCATTGTAAAGAATAATAATAATGAATACAAAATACTAAATTGATGCTGTTTACCTGTGGATCTCTTAAAAATCCGTATGCATTCATCCATTGAAGCAATGCTACCGCACAATGTGTTTGTTTCGGCAATTTGAGCCATGCCATTTTTTATTCGTATACGCATTTGGCCGATATGATGTTCACCATCTTTCAAGCCGAAAGGTGAAATGGCATCAGTTACTAAGATTAAACCTTCCTTATTGGCACGATATGCGATTCTCAATGCCGCTGGATGCGTATGTATTCCATCTGCAATGATTCCATAGTAAACCGTTTCCGATTCGGAAAGTTGATCAGATGTCAATAGCCCGACTAGACCTGGATCGCGATGATGAAACTGGAGTAAAATTATGAGAAACGTAAGAAGAGGTGGAAGTTTCGAAATGAAAATGACATAAAATAGTTTAAATCTGTTGAACAAATCTGAAGCTGCCGAAGAATATGTAACTAATTCATTTTTACCGGTAACATTGCATTGAACAGATGTGTTATCAATTTCGATCCATGTTTAATGGCAGCTTCACCTTCCTCCAAATTGGCCATAGAGTGTCCAACAGACACTGTAATATTTCTGGCAGTTAATTCTTCAATCACTTTCAATGCATTTTCTTTTTCTGGCGCTAATGTTATTATGGCAACATTATCCAGCGTTCCATATGTTTCAAGTACAGTGGAAAATCCCTATTGAAACGATGACAGAAGATCACAAAAAAATAACGAATTAAAAAGAGAAATCTTCAGCTGGGATTCTTCACACGAAATGCACATACATTATCAAAATCGCGAATGCATTTCGGTTCATGTGCGCCTTTTTTCTCCAGATTAATGAACGGCCCTTCTAAATGAACTCCAAGAATATTTGCACCTTTTGCTCCTCCGTTCGTCTTTTTGATACGTGGAAGAATATCATGGTAGATTTTAGGTAACGAGGTCACTAGTGTTGGACAAAATGATGTAACACCATGGGCTAATAAACCTTTTGCGACCGTTTCAATGCCTTCTTCTATATTTGCTGTGTTATTGGCGAAATCGATACCGAATCCACCTGTTTCAAATTGAAAATACGAACAAATTACTGATAAAAACTTTCAACGCGAAATGTATCCAATGCACAAAATTTGCGATAAGCAAACACCGCGAAAGAGTTCAGAAAAAAACCGGAATGACACGAACCGTTTATTTGGATGTCAATGAACCCGGCCGCGATTAACGCTCCACTGCAGTCAATTTGTCGATGTGAGCAGATTTTTTTTTCGAAGAATATAGGCTCTGGATTGATAATTTTACCATTTTGTATCCACAAATCGTCGACAATGATTTGATGATTGCGAATTAGTCGACAATTTCGAAATTGAATAATTTCGTCACGCGAATACACAGCGGCCGTCATTGTGAGACGAACTACTGAACTGACTGGAAATGAATGCTCCGAATGAACAATGCATCAATCATTTGATTGATCACAAAGACAAGTTTCACAGAACAAAAGACGATGTCATCGTTTTTGTGTCTGTGTTTCTTATCATTTACAACGATAACCGCATTTATTTGCTAGCCTTGTAAATGTAGTGTAGTGTGAATTCTCTTTTTTTCCTGTGTCTCTCTATGGAATTAAGCACAAAACTTAAACTGATGACCTGAACATTGAATTCATTTACAAATTTTGTTTACGTAATTTTCAAGAGTTGACAGTAAACAAACAACGAATGTGTGTTCACATTCGGAAAGAACTGTCGACTCTGACGTATGCTAACCCGCTTTATGACAGCAGAAATAAATACACACGCATGCACACATACACACAACCGGTTTTTATATATTCGGAACTGGCATTCAGTTATCACTTGATAACAAACATTGCTACTACCGCCAGTTCAAATAGCACGAGGGAACAACTCAAGTGGACCATGTTTTTTATTTAGTTTGCTGCAATACAATGTTTATGCGATAAGACAGGCGCTTCGAAAATATAGAGCATCACACAGCCTTTTTTTAAATCTTCATTTATTTTTTAATCATTTTTTTAAAATCTTATTCTTCGTCTTAAATCAATTTTCAGCCCATCTGTCGAGCCTTTCTTATTTTTTTATCCTAAAAATCGGAAAAAAGAAAAAAGGTTAGATTCTTTCGGATAATAATGGAAACAAAGTCTTTTTTCTGAATGAGTCATAGCTTAAAAGCTTCTACTAAATAAATTCACTGTGAATCTGTTACAAATCCTTTCCGCTAGTAAAATATTGGTCGCCCACGGGCATTGTGCCACTTCAAGAATATATAGAGGTTATCGAAAATGAACTTGTTCATTTTGATTGCCGCACATCGAAATTCAACCACGACCGAATTGTTAACTATCGAAACAAATGGAGCGTTATTCATGAATAATGAACTGCATTGTGTATGAAGCAAAAATTGAGGACAAAAGCCAATAAATTATTGTTTTTAACAAGCTGTTCAGCATTCGATATGAGATTTCAATGACTTTTACGATATGAATGTTTATGATGGTGATATTTATAAATTGTATACTCCAACTAGTGTTTTAAAAATAAATAAACGGCAATTTTCGTTCAGAACCATTGAATTTATTCATCACGTCTACATCGACTTTTGAGAAAATTTCTTTCATCATTTAAATAGTTTATCACTCGATTGTGTTGTTCAGTCCCATGCCATCGTTTTCATTTTCGCCGTTTTCATTATCGCTGCCTTCGTTATCTTCGTCATCGTAATCACCTTCGTCCACCTCCATTTCGAAGTGATAAAACTTCTTCCGTGATGCCGAAATGATGGTAGCAATTTTGCGTCCACCCGAAACGGCCAAGCTGTTTCCATCGCTGATATCAAGCGGTCGCACCAAATCGATATCCAATAGATCGCGTAGATTTACGGCAGCCAGTGCCGGATCAATAGCAATGCGTCGTTGAATCCGTGCACTAGTCAATCGTGATAGCAACGGTTGAATTGGGAATTGGACGAAACAATTCGCTGTGGGCTTATTCTTTTTGTATGCAAACAACATTGAAATGGCTTTATCGTTGTAGAATTGCGTATGAAGCATTTTCATTCGAGGGAACTTTTGGCTGAGCTCCGTAGTATTCTCGTTCGATGTATCAACACCTTCGGTTTCTTCTTCTTCTTCGGTAAATTCAAACTTTGCAAATTTCACACACTCAGATCGTGGTGAAAATTCTTTGAGATACATCTGATTGCTGTTGATGGTGAAAGAGAATAGTGTCGAGCCCTTTTCATCCAAATCGAATTGATGCCAGTTGAATGTCGTTCGATTCGTCACCTCACATATATCCACCGTGTAAACCAATTGTAATTTCAAACTGATCAACGTGTCTGGCTTCTCGAACAGCTTGCGAATGCTCTCTTTCAAATTGTTGTGCTCCTGAACCAAAGACAATTCCTTGTGATGCGGATAAATGAAATTGGAATTTTTCAAACATTCATTTTGCTCAAGTAACTTATTCCAATCGGATGAAACACTGATTCGAGACAATTTTTGGAGGTTTTGATTCTGCAGATATTGACCAACTCGCTCGAGATTGAATTTACGTTTCTTGCGATCGTCTGGATGAAAAAGAATGGAGTTGAATTAGAACATTGAACTTGGAGTGGAGTGATTTGAACTGCTCACCGTTATCAATTTCACAATATTCATCGAACGTGTTGAGAAATTCGGCCAAGTAAATTGTATCTTGTTGAGAAACGGCGGCAATATCTTCCGGCACCGATTCATCCATTAGACGAACAATCACACCGTACAGCCAACCCCAGAATATTTTGAAATCACGATTCGACTGCTCAATTACCTGCTGTAGCTCCAGTGACTTGATGAGGAAGGCTCCAGCATTCAAACTTGCATCGCTCGTTATGGTGCCTAGTAGATCCTGCGATTTTGAAATAAAGTTTGGATCAAATTCCAATAGTAATTCATATAAGTAATCAATAAATAACTAAAATTTACCTTATAATAATACGTATTCTTGGACATTCCTTTCAAATAGTTCAAATGATACGAAAGATTCAAAATTGCGGTGTGCAGTGGCCGAATGACCAATTGTTGAATGGTTGAGTAGGTGATTTCGATGGAATTGCCGAGTTTTTTCATTCCTTTATCAGTGAGATCTCGTGTTAAGAACTTAACTAATGGATCTGGAGCGTATCCAAATATGAGTAGCTCAAGAAAATCCGCCGAGACAACACCGTCCGGCCGAGAATTTACGTAATTTGTTAGTTTTCGGTCCATTTCCAAAAGTGCTGTTTCCCAGGCTTCGATTATACACTGAACAATCTCTTCAATATAAGCCAATGTGTTTACAATGTACCCATACTGAGTGGCTAATTTCAACAATGAAACAGTTGACTCTGAGTAAATTGTATTCTGAAAGGCCAAGTGTCGAAGTTTCCGTTTGTGTCGAACCAAAACAAAGACCGTATTAAAATCGCTGCTCATTTTCATGTCGAATAGTTGAAAATCTTCGTTGCCCTTAACTCCCAGTGAGGATTTCACATTGATCTGGCCACACGGCAACATTCCAAAGACAAACATTCGCACCACACCCGATTTCAATGCGATCATCAACATATTGAAAACACGAGTGGCGTACGGAGTGTGAGAATTGTAATCATGCTTCCGTGTGTTCGATGTTAGCGAATTAAAATTCGGCAATGGAGGCAAATACACTTTGTGACCATTGGCAAACTGAAAATACGGATTTTTTTTTACTGAACTGTTCTTATTTCGAAATGCATGGCAATGTCTTACCAATTTCGTATTGCCTTGCAAATCATCAAAATCGTCGTATGACTCTTTGGTATTTTGCGTCCAATTGAGCGAAACAATTTCGCTTTTTAATTCAAGCGTATGAAGAGTTTGATGATTTTCCACATCGACCAAAATCACTTTTCCACTGTTGTAACCTTTGGAACGGAAATGAAATTTAAATGAATGAAAAAAAAATGATAAAAACATTCTGTCAAAACGGAATATATTTTGATATGAGCAAAGAATCGTCTATCCAAAAAGTAAGAAGAAGAAGGATTTTTTTTTACCAATAGCCAATATACGTTCATCGGGTCGCCAGCCAATTCCACACACTTTAGCATCTTCAAACGGTGCCGGTTGTGTCCAAAGCACTTGTAAATTCAATCGCTGTACAATAACTTCGCCTAGAAAAACAACATCAAAATACATGACAATTGGCCGCCGGTCATTGAAATCTACTTTATTCATTCACCTTTGTCATTGCTCATGGCAATTAAATCCATTTTATGGCTCCATGTTAGCAATTCGATATTATAACGAACTCCTTTGGAGTTATGCAATCGCATTAAACTTGACTGCATTTTAGAATTAAATTCCTTGCTCAGTCAGAAAAAATATATATCTAAAACTACAAGTTTATTACGCTGTTCAATTCAAAGTTACCGTTTGCATTGTTCAAATGTCAGTGTATATACTGGCACAACATAGCGGAGTATTCAATGTCAGAATATCGCGCCGAACTGTCAACAACAGTGTCAATGTGTCAAAATATCCCAATTCGATTTCATTTCATAGTATCGCTGCAGTAACAGCACAACGTGCTAACCACATTGTTCGTGTTTAAAAAAGCGTCATTTGCTGTAAAAAAAGTGATTATTGTTGGTGAAAACGTTTTCCAAGTGTTGCATTTTCTCGCCCAAACGTTTCGAATCATATGAAATGTTGTAAATTATTTAGTGTTTATCATAAACACGAGAAAAATGGCATCAAATCGGCTGGATTCCTAGGTAAGAGATATTCTTTTCCATTTGTTCAACAAAGAAACGTTCTAAATGTCATTGAACGCATCCGATGCGTGGCAATGTGCGTGTGTTGTGTAATAGAGAGTTTTGCCGGCTTTTTTTCCCTTGTAGTCTATGTCTATTGTGTTTCGTATTGTGTGTTTCTTCTGGTGCGGTCCATTGGCTCATGGCGTTTACATATGCGTATGTATGTGTTACTTGCTGGGTACCGTGTGCTTGTCTCTGTCTCTCTATCTCTCTGTCTCTTTTTCTCCCCCTGTGTATAAGAGAGCGTGTCGCATCTGTATTAGTGTGAGCGCTCACGTTTTTGTTCTTCTTTTTTTTGACATCGTCGTCGTTCGATTGTCTGAGTGCGCGATATTTTTCTCTGCGCATTACCAAACACACATCGAGCAATGTGTAGCATTTGATTTTGGCTCAGTATTCGAGTTGACTCTTTTTAGTCTACGCCATTTTTTTCGCTTCAAAACTTTTAAAGTAATGGCAAAGGTGAGTGATTTTCTCGCAAATTTTCCATTATTTTTATTAATCATTTCGATCAGTTTCATCAATATTTCCATTGAAATTGTGACACATTTACACACTGACATTCGATATAAGTGCGGCAAAACAGTAAAGTGATAAAAAAAATTGTTTTAAACTGAGTGCAAAAAACAAAACGAATAGATTAGTTTTAACAGCAAAAAAGCAACAACAATTACCACATAAAGTATTGATGGCGGAGACCGCGACAGAAAAAAAAATCGTTCATTGTTCTAGAATGTTTTCAAATCTCGTTGAATTTTTATTTTAACTGTTGTTGATTCATTGGATGTCGAAAGAAATTCCCGAGAAAAATGAGAAAGAGAGATGTTTAATGCATACTGAACAAAAAAAAAATTGGCTTTATCGTGTGAAATTATTTTCGGCTGTGGCGGTGATAAAGTTCGAATGGTGATATGAAATATCAGAAAACGTTGTGCGAAATGTGGAAGGGAAAGAGAGAAATAAATGATGGAAACAAGGGAATTCGTGTCAAAAAAGTCATAAAACATGGGCATTACAGTGTGATGAGCATCAATTCCAATCTACAAATTGGCCAAATCATGTTCTAGATGTGTACTTGACTTTTCACACCATTTTTTTCATGCTCTCTTTCTCTTTCGTTCTCTCCCTCTGTGCTGCTACTGTTGCCTCTACTGCTTGCTCTCACTCTCACGCGTTTCGCTCATCATCTTCGATTCTAGCTCAAGGACACATTGGCTTTCAGTATCGTGTGGCGCGCAACATTCTGTCTGCATCTACATTGCCAATGGTGTGTGTCTGACATAGAAAAAGAATTTCATTTTAGAAGGAAAGAAAGAAAGAAAAAAGCCACACGAACGAATTGAACCTAACCATCGTCATAGAGCATATCTATAGACATATGGCCATTTGTATACGTATGTCATTTTCCATGATGTGATCTACTCTCTTTCAGTGTATCACTGCATTGCGCACTTCAATAAAAAAAAATTACAATACGCTTCATATATGTATCCATATATATCAAGTAGAATGACATAGAACCAGCGCGCGCGACAGCAGCAGCATACAGCCACCGAATATGGAAAATTATAGGCTGGCAAATTCTGTCGAGTAGCCAGCATATCCAAGTATTTTCATACAATTGCAAAACTCGAACATTCTCTCTCTTGTCCTTTTTGATTGCGCCACATTTATGACATTCGGCCACATCGAATTATTCCATATATTATGGAATCGGTGGTTTGCAGTGAAAATGCCAAAAAAAACAGGCAATACATACAAGACACCGAATATAGAGAAGAGACAAAAGTGAAGAAATGACACGAAGAACGAAAGAAAAAAAAGAACCACTTCAGAAGGACAAGAAAAAAAATTAATAAACGCCATTAGAAATAAATGTATTACATCGAGGTGAGAATGCCATGCAGTTGCAATTGCGCGCGCGATCTTACAAATGCACACACAAATGTCAAAAACAACCACTAAGCAGTTAGCACACAGAAGTCGCCCTGTTTTTTTTTCCACATTTCTCTTATATATTCTCCTTTTCGGCCATGAAATTCATTGTTTGTCATAGAGAGAAAAATGTGTATGTGTGTAAGTGTGTGCATTAGTGTGTATAGGTAAGACGGAGAACGACAGTCTTAGCGCAAACACAGCCCGAAACCAAAAGAAAATTATTCTTCTAAGGAATTGTATTTGATTCGCCACGAAAGAATTGTGTTGATAGAAGAAAGAAAAAGACCAGTTGTTCTTCGATAGATAAGCTGACTACACTAAAAATAGCAACACATAAAAACAATTGAATATATAAATTTCCGTAGTCACAGTGAATTGAGTGGATTACACGACGGTACATGTTGAGTGCTTTGCTAGATTATTTGTTCTAATATCATCGTCAGTAGTTTATGAGTTATTTCCGCTTTGGTATCACCATCATTTTTTTTCTCTTTCTCTCTCCCCCCCCCCCTCTCTCTCTCTCTCTCTCTCGATATTTATCTTGATTTTCTTTGTGATTCTATTTGACGTGCAGCAGCCGAGAGCAAACGTTGAATTCACTCGGTATAGTAAAGTGTGCTGGAAAAAATTGGTTTTTGCGCGAGCGAGCGAGCGCACGTTTACGTTTGGCGTGCATTGGAAATCAAATTACATCGTTGTCTCGAGCGATTTTTTTTCTTCTCGTCTCTCCGTACATCTTCGTTCTATTCGAACGCAATTGAATGCAGCTTTTCGTGCAATGGGCAGTGACATTGAAAAAAAAGTTGTGTACAGCATAGAACTACAATTGTCTTCGCATTCTCTATCCGTTTTTGGTTTCGCGTTCCCGTTACTCTCACATTCAGTTTGCACAACAGCACCGAGATAGTACACGTCACACAATTACTGATATACTATATTCCATCCATATTTAATGCCGCCCAAGTTATCGTATTCGTCTAATTGAACCACACCATACACGATACTATATCGTACGTCACACACACTCGCCGTTTCCAAATGTATTCATTTTTCAAACGAATTTAATTATACGCGGCTACTCGAACGCTTCGATTGGTTTGCATAAATCGTGTGATTTTTTTTTTTGCTGGTTCGGTTTTTCGTGTAGGGACTTTAATGAGCACAATATTTCTAAAAAAAGATTGTAATAGAACCCCCAATATACTCTATTTAATTTGGCGTGCAAAAAACAACAACGCATAAGCTCAACACTTAACGATGATAGCTCAAGTTTTCATCATTCGACCAGAGCGCAATTTATTTTGATTCGATCTTATCGAAACCAGCAAGCATCAAACTATCAATTAAAAAAAAACATATATATATAATTCGCAATTGTATATTTTCTCTGCATAAATTTGAATATTTCGTGAAATTAAAAGTGAACCGAACGAAAGAGAAGAAATGAAAATCAGCGAGAGACGGCAATTTGAGGTTAGACTCATGGTAACACACAGGGCGCATATGTGTTGTTCCGATATAATTGGCGCTGTTCTCTTAGATATACACAGTATAGGACCATCTGTGTGTGCACGCAGCGAACACCCATACACACACGCACGCACACATACGGACACCTATACACACTCACTCAACAAATGAATTGTGGTTCATTTTTATGCTGTTTGTTTTCGTTGTTGATCGATCGAAAGCGTGTTTCAATTGGCGTCACTCTTTGATTTTGTTGTTGCTTACCATTTTGATATTGTAAGGGCAGAGTGCCAATATTCCCACGTGTTTTTTTTTCTCTCGCCGTCTATCTATATCTAAGTCAATCAATTACCAAATAATGAATTACTTATCGCATGAATTTTATCGTTTCATTTCTTTTCCTTTGATTTTCATATTGAAATATTAATGAGTTTTTTCTTCTCTTCTTTGTTCATTTTCAGACTTTGGGCAAGACTGTACACTAAATATATTTACATTTATTAAAGGCCTAAACAAAAAAAAAGATCTAATTTAAAAACAAAAACCAAAATCAGCAACAACACCTACTAAATAAAAAAAAAACGAATCAACTTTTTGACATTTAAACACAACAACTAAAAAAAATCGCTTACGAAATTTTTTCTTTTGAAAAAAATTCATCAAGTTAAATAAAAACGTTAAATAAAACTAAAAAAAAGAATTATAATCAACAACAACAACAAAAACCAAAATCAGTTACTGTGTGCAAATTTACAAAAAAAAAGATAACGAAAGAGATTAAAATTGACAAATTGTTTTAGTTTTATATATATATACATTGATTTTAATTTTTTTGTTCGTTCGTTCATTCTTGGCAACAGGGAAATTCTAACGCAATTATTTTACAAATTTTATTAGATTACATAGCAACTAAAAGAAAAGTTAAAAAATACACACACACACACAAGTTAAAAGCAAAGGAGAAAGCAACCAACCAATAAATATTTTTAATTGATAATAACTAGTTAAAACATTTAAAACAAATAAACTGCAACAGCAACAACGTATTAAGTGGAGAAAGAACGGAGACGGAGTTACACTACTAATAAATACAACATCCTAATATCGTATCAGACATCTACTCTGAACACAAACACAAAACAAAAAAACTATACTATTTTTTATGATTTTTATTTTTTGGTCGTAAATTGTTGGACTTGTATAGTATTTAGTCATTTATTGATATACAAACATTAAACACAACAACAAATCCTACAAAAAAGCATTCAAACCAAGACACAATAGACTTTTGACAAAACAACATTAAAAAAAACTCACGGGATAAATTCAACTAAATCTGTAAAGTTAAATCTAATAAACAAAATAATCACGCGTGCACGCGGTATTTTTTCCTCTTCGATTGAAAGTTGCTTGATAAGTTTCGCGGTACAATTCGTTGATTGCGTTAATCGTGTGATTCGAACAACAACAACAACAACCACACACATTACCTTTCGGGACGAGACTGTATCTGTCTGAAACATTGGATTGAGCAATGGCATCGGCTGATATTTTTAGCAGTGTCGCAGCAACGGCAGTGCCACCAGCTACAATTACAACCACTGAAGCAACGCTGACCGCACTCATCGAAACCACCGTTGAACCGTTGACCATCAACGATATCAAGATGTTTGAATCGTTGGATCTGGACTCGTCGGGCAGCAGTGGCATTGGCAACAGTAACGAAGCCATCATCGAAGGTTCATTGGATGAAACCGATTCGTTGCTGGAAGAGCCCAATCAATGCTGCAAGATTTGCAAGTAAGTGCTCACTAACCTTTATTTGAACAATTTTTATTCGGTGCCAAATTCAATTACTCACACATGTCAATGTGCTTTGCAAACAGGGAGAAGTTTCGTTCGCCACGTGTTTTGTCATGCTTGCACGTGTTCTGCGAAGAATGCATCGACGGTTTGATCGAGGAGAACGAGGATCCATTGACATCCAACACCTCAATCGAATGTCCGGAATGTAATCAAACGATGGTCGTAAGTATCTTTGTGGAATTTTGGTTTTAATAAAAAAAGGGAAAAAAAATTATCATAAAATGATGAAAAAAAAAAACATTTTTTTTCATGATTTAAAATTTATGCGTCAATATCTAGGTCACCGGAAAGGCTGCAACTCTTTCGCCGGACTATGTGTTGACCAACATTTTGGATTTGTCATCGATGGAACCGGGCGCATTGCAATGTACATCATGCAAAAGCGCTGAAACGGCCATCTCGCGTTGCAATGATTGTGCAAATTTCCTGTGCGCCAGCTGTGACAACGCCCATAAGTACATGCGCTGCTTTGAAAACCATCATGTTGTCATCTTGGACAAGCTACGCAGTTCCGATGAAAAGGTTGCAATCCACAAACCAATCTTCTGTGCCACGCACAACAGCGAAAATCTCAAGTATTATTGCTTCAAATGTCAAGTGCCCGTTTGTAATGATTGTGTGGTGGGCGAGCACAAGGGTGCCGAACATCACTATGAATTGATTGGCGAAGCGGAAAAACTCATGCGCACCGACATTGAAGAGCTTATGACTAAGGCCAAAAGTAAAATTAATTACTGTGATGATGCATCGACCAGCCTGGGAAATGCATTGACTGAACTACAAAATCAACATGACACCGCTCATTCAACGATCACCGACACGTACAAACGTTGCAAGAAAATCTTGGACGAATGTCGTGACCAATCGCTCAAAGATTTGGATCGATTGCATTCCGAACGTGAGCTTAAAATCATGGATTTGATGCACAACGTGGAAAAAAGTGTGGAAAAAACGGAGGCCGCCTGTAAATTTACCAACAAATTATTGCAGGCGTCCAATGCGACCGAATTTTTGTGCATGAAAAAAATGATTGGCGCCCAATTTTTGCAATTGATTTCGGACACACCAAAAGCCGATGTTCATTTCTCATTGGAATTCGACTCGAAAGTGGAGAAATTCGAGCAATTGGCATCGGATGCTTTTGGCAAGTTTCGCACTGAATCGACACCACCAAGTCCCAAAGAAAGTACACCGCCGCCAACGCTTCCAGGTCTACCACCGACATTGAATAAGTCAAACATTCCTTGCAATAGCTCGCAGAGCGCTCTAACCGGTTCGGTTACGGCCAGCAGCCCAATTTCGATGCCAACATCGATGCAGTCATCGTTCGATGGTGATATGTCGACCATGGGCGCCAGTTTCTTGATTCCACCGAGCGCACTCACACCGGACACCATTGCCGTACAACCGCCAACGGCCGCCAGCAATCACGTTCAATCGAACGGTGCGATCGCTTCGTCGGCTGTCAATCAAAATGGCGGCTCAGTATTGTTGAACACAAGTATTGCCGAATACAATTTGCACCGTTTGGCTAATTTAGCCGAATCAACTGACATTCCCGATGGTATCGCGCCACCGTCTCAACCTAGTCCAGCTCCACAATTCACTTTGGCAGATCTCATCTCAAATGAACGAGCATTTAACAATAACTTACAAGCATTGTGCAAACTTGGCAACTTCAACAACAACGGTACGTTCGCTGGATCGATCAATCGATTGCATTTTCATACCTTTTTTTTTAAATTCTTATTTTGATTTATCTCAATTTTTCGTGATCTTTTCTCATAAAAAATTTGCTTCTTTATTTTCCAAATCCACAGAAATGAGTACAAACGCCATACCAAACCATCGACCAGATAGCGTGTCTTTGCTAACGGATTATTCGATGCCATCGTCAACATCACCAGTTGGTACGATTGCTTCGCTCAACGAAAATATGAACGGTTTGAATGGCCTGAATGGAATCAACGGAATCAACGGCATGAACGGCATTAATGGCATCAACGGTCATGGTCTGAACTTACACGGAAACAACGTAACGATTAATGGACGCATTAAGGCAACGCCGATGCACATTCGATACAAGTTCGGTAGCCTGGGACCATCACGCGTTCAATTCAATTCACCGCATGGTTTTTGCTTGGGCGTCGACGAAGAAATCATTGTTGCCGACACAAACAATCATCGCATCGAAATCTTCGAAAAGGACGGCACATTCAAGATGCAATTCGGTGTGCCAGGCAAAGAAGAAGGTCAATTATGGTATCCAAGAAAAGTTGCCGTGATGCGATCGAACAGCAAATTTGTGGTCTGCGACCGGGGCAATGAACGATCACGCATGCAAATCTTCACCAAAAATGGTCATTTCATCAAGAAAATTGCCATACGGTAAGTTGAACTTTTTGGTTTTGGATCAATTTTGGGAATAGTTGCTTAGAGTCAATTTTGGTGTTAAACAGTTTTAAGGACTTGTTTTTTTTTTGGTTTTGGTGATGGAAAATTACAATTTCTTTTCAACTCAATATTGAATCATTGATTTCCAGTTATATTGATATTGTTGCTGGTTTGGCCGTATCAAACGAGGGCCATATTGTTGCTGTTGACAGTGTATCTCCGACTGTCTTTGTCATCTCTGAAGATGGAGATTTGGTTCACTGGTTTGATTGCAGTGATCACATGCGTGAACCATCTGATATTGCTATCAGTGGTAAGAATTGGATTTTCTAATCAATTACTGACTACTGGTCCCAGTTATGCCCAGTTAGATTGAGAATTAATCACATTTTCGTTGACATTTAATAGGTACTGATTTCTACGTGTGCGACTTCAAAGGGCATTGTGTCGCTGTTTTCGGACAGGATGGTTCGTTCAAGTATCGCATTGGCAATGAAAAGATAACATGCTTTCCAAATGGCATCGACATTTCTGACGCTGGTGACATTTTGATCGGTGATTCACACGGTAACCGCTTCCATGTAGCTTGCTTCTCGCGCGAAGGTGTTCTGCAGTCAGAGTTCGAATGTCCACATGTTAAGGTTAGTTGGAAACCAAACTAATTTCTCATTCAATTGACTCTTTTTTTTATTTTTTATTTGCTTGATTTTAAATTGCTTCTGAGCATATGTATAGCTTTACACAATTGATACAAACTCGACCATTTTTATCCTTCATAAAATTTTTGGCCAATAATTAATTTGCTTCTCAAACTAACGGAAATGCAAATTTCGTTGTATTTTTTCTCCCGGTGTCCAGGTTTCACGTTGCTGCGGCTTAAAAATCACATCCGAAGGCTATGTGGTCACTTTGGCCAAGAATAATCATCATGTTTTAGTGTTGAACACCCTCTATATCCAGTGATTCGACGAGTCAAACACAAGCACACACACGCATCGACAATAAGTCGCTGATAAGGAATACGCTAAAACCAAACTGATTTAACTGATCTCTTAGTTAATTTTAACAATTTTACGTTTTTTTTTTCTCTCTCAAACCAGGAAGAAAATATCAATTAAGTGAAAAAGAAAGAAAGTAAAAAGTAACAGTAGTAATTTTACAAAAACAACACTCATCCACTCACAAACACATACACACATGAAAAGAAAGAAGAAAAAAAAATGAAATAGTCAAAACAAAGAGAGCAAGAACACTAATTCAAGCAAAATGAAAACGAAAACGAAAAAGAAATCCAAAATGAACATCAGTTGCAAAATGGTAAAAGCAAAAGCCAAGCACGCTAACTCAGTATCAAGCGATAGATTAATTTTGTTCAAGACAAAGAAGCAAATCTCCATCGATTAATGTGTTCGTCAGAAGAAGAAAATAGAAGAAAAAAAAAGAATTTTTTTTTGTTGTTGTTGCATGGCGACATCATTTTTATCCAACTCTATTATTATTATTATTATTATTTTTTTAGGGATTTAAAAAACAGAAAAACCACAAAAAAAACATTTTACGAAGATTTATTTTTTTGTACTAGTTACATTAGTGTGCACCCGACCTTTGAATTTCACTCTGCATTTGTTATAAATCTATCTAATCATATACATCTATATATCTCGTCTTTAAGTAGGGAAACAAAGAAAATAACACATCCACACAGCAACAAGTGAAATGAATTTCTCGTGCATCGCCAAAATCGAATTCAGTTGATCGACAGATCGATATATATACTTGCGTTCAATGTATTTTTTCTTAAACTTAAGATATTTTTTTTTTAATGTTTTCTGTTTACTATTTTTTTTATTTTGTTTTTCTTAACAATGTTCACGTATTTTTCTTTAAATAGTGAGTTTTTGTTTGTTTTTCCACCCAGCCCCCCATTTATATATTTTTAATAATTTTTTTTTTTGTGTGTCTATTTAATAATGAAACACTTTTCATGAAACCGCATTCGGGAGAAGAAAAGATAGGTCACAAAATGTGGCTAACGAAAACAAAACCAAGCGAAAACATGAAATTCGACAACTATTTTTACATGTGTATTTTTAAAATGCTGCAAATGAAACATGAAGAAATGAATGTTACTAATCAATAATGATTTCTCTTTTTTTCGTTAATTCTAAGTACTTTTTTGGATTCCTCGGTTTCTCGGGTATTTTTCCATTTGTTTGTTTGCGCCACCGTGCCACACACAAATAACAAACACAGCAAATTGACAAACACTCGCTAAGAAACATAAAATTAGAACAAAAAAAAATAATGATAAGAAATGTATTTAAATTCAACGCTTCGTACAATGATTCATCCCTTTGGAATTTATTGTTCACCTAAATTTTTTTTCGATTTTACATTATCATTTTGGTTTGTTTCGAGGTTAATTTAAGCGAGATGAAATACTATTTTATCCAAAAAGAAAACACAAAGATTTATTTTGAGGCCATTTTCAAAGGTCTTGTTTTAAACTTTCTATACGAAATGACAAGAAAAAAAAACATGCAAACAAAGAATTTGATGATTTCAAGAGACACAAAGAATGATAAAAACCAAAAAAATCAAATCTTATACATTTGTTTGTTTTCGTTTTGCTCTTTCTTTGTTGCCTGGCATTTGCAAACGATGGCATTTTTTCATCGTTGAAATGTTGAAAATGAAACGAAAACAAAAAAAAAATGCTCAAAAATATTTAGGAAAAAAAAAATGAACCGTTTACTTATAACGATGTAAAGCAAACAGAATGAAGGGCAAAGACGATGATGAAGTGGAGAAGCGCATTGATGTATATTTATACATATACAGCAACAAGAAAATATACGAATTTTTTCGGTGTTTAAGGGACATATGTTATTTTTAAACGCATTCACTCGCCTCCTTTTAGCGCAGTGGATCTGTGTTTAGTTTTATTCGTGGAAGAAAAAATTTACCTTTTCGTTTTTTTTTTTTCAAATATCAAACAAATAAAAAAAATGAATTGTGCTGAATATAAATTAGGAATTATTGCATCAAATGCCAAATTTGATGTGCATGAACCTGAAAAGCAAAGAAAAAAACTAAAAAATGAACTCTTGAGAGAGGAAAAATAGCCAATAATGATAAAAAAAGACCATTTTTTTCAATTTAGTTGTTGAAATTTTAATTTTAGATGAACCTTAAAAAAACTATTTAGAAAGAAAAAAAAACACAAAAAATTACAAAAAAAAACCATGAAAATCGTTGATTCAAAAAAAAACTATGAAAGCAAGAGGTTATAACAACAAGAATAATTCGATTGAAATTCCGCGCAAAAACCAAATTCAAATGTGTAAAAAAGCAACATCAATAATCAATTCGGTAGAGCAAGAGGAAATTTAGCTTTCCTTTTTTTACTAAATGTCCATTTTTTGAATCTTTTTTTCGCCAATTTTCATTCAATTCTTCTCGCGACAGCCAAAGAATGGCTGAATTAGACTTCTCACGGACACTTTTTACACAGGACTAATGAAAGATTGAAAAAAAAACTAAACTAAACTACAAAAGATGATGAAAACAAAACGCTGTTATTCGAACGCTTAGGATATTGTTAATTAATGACTAAATTATTCCCTCTAGTAGGCTATATATATTTTTTCTTTTTATCCATTTTATTATTTTTTTTTGTCTAATTTTTAGCTTTAATCTAAACAACAACAACAAAAAACACACATTTTTGCCAGTGTAATTTAAAATTGGTAGTTTATTCGAATGATGAACTTTTTTTTATTTCGAAAATGGATTATTTTGTAATTTATTGGCTAAGTAAGAAAAAAAAAATGGAAAAAATGCAAACAAAATTCAGAAAACAAAATGAAAAATGATATTTTTATCACTAAAAAAAAGAGGAAGAAGATCGTTTGGGCTCCTTTATTATGACCGATGTCATTTTTATCGGTATTGAGTCATGTGAACGATGCAAAATGTTAATTACTACGACAACAACAGCAACAACAAAACATCTACCCTTTAAGCATTATATTAAGGCGAGCAAGAGGAGGGTTAAAAGGCCGAGAGATTGGAGGAAGAAAACCCTTTATTATGTTACATATACACCTGTATTTAGGATTTAGAAGATGAGACATGAAATCCAACACGCTTTTAGTTGATACTTTACAAAACACAAAGAGCATAACAAACCCACACGGAGAATACCGGTGTCGATAGAATCCTTTGATAGAATTCCTTTTTTTATTTAGATTTTTTTTCTCATGCGTTTATTTTTTTTATTCCAATCATAACAATTTTTTTGTTGTTTTTTTTTTTTTTAATTTTCTTCTCCAACATTTTTTTTTCGTTTTATTTATGCGTGGAAGAAAAAAAAACTTGTGATTAATTCTTTTACGCTTGTTTTGAAATCTAAATAAAGTCAAATTACGTTTCTTTTTTTTTTGCAAATAAAATCAGACATAAACAAAAACAAATGTTGTTGTATAAAACATAAAGAAAAGAGAAAAAAGAAAATGTGCACGCGACAAAGCAAGCAGACCAGTGAAAAAAAGAGAAAATGAGCCACACATAGTGAAGTGTGAATGAAAATGAAAAGGAATACAAAATGAAAACTAAAAACGCAATCGCATTTTTAAATTAGAAAAACAAAAACATACCAAAATTCAATTGAACTTTTGCGGCTGCCAAAATCCCATATTGAAATTCTATATGTGAAGCAATAACAAAAATAAATGAAGAAGTTGAAACAAAACAAAAAAAATCTCCTAAAATCTACATGTACCATTAAACTGGAACAAATTAATCAGATCGTCGCTAGTATTTTTTTTTTAATGTCTATACATATATTGTTCATTCACACCTTAGTGACCGAGTTGCACCTAGCAAATGCTCTCTCGCCGAAATGCTTTTCTAGTTCTGTTTTTTTTTTGTTTTCTGTTTATAAAATACAGGATTGACCATTAGCTTTCAGTTGTCGTTGCAATGTTTTATATTATTACTATTCATCGAAACCAATAGGCTGTGTGTTGATGAAAACAAACATATACGAATTGCCACTCAGAAACACGTGTTTTTGTTTCCTCGTTTCATTCACGCCGATCACTAATACCTTTTGGCGGTTTCAATATGCCCGCAATCTGTGTGATTTCATGCAAAATGAAGAAGAAGGAATAATCAATATATTGGAATAGGGGAGATTAGTTGATGATAATGACAAGGACCGGCACAATTTTTTCAAGTAACTCAGAGCAACAAATCGAAATCAATTTCCTGTACTGATAGTTTTTACCTTATATTCAATGTCAGTTATTATCTTTATATACAAACAAATCTATTTCTTATTTTTAGAGCCTTAATAAATAGAATGAAAAAAAATGAAGAAAAAATGAAGAAAAAATAACAACTAACAACAATAAAGAAAAATCCCAAAGTGGAGAAATTACGACGTATAAATGACGTGTAGATGAGTTTTTATGAGTGAAAAAGAAAATGATTTGAAATTATGTGGGGGTGTGTATGTAAGAGACAGACAGAAAGAATGGACGCAAACAGAGCTGAGAGAAACGTTTTTAAGATAGAATATTATTATTCATTTATTTAGGTTATTTTTGATCGTTTTTGGTCCTTCTTAGCTGTGTACTCCCAATCGTGCTTCGTGAACATTGATTTTTTTTGTGATCGATAAATTATTATTCACTAACCAAATTAGAATCCCAATTTCCTTTTGTAATACAAAAAAAAAGTGCCAGCGCCAAACAGAAAATTTAACACTTTAAGATTTATGATATATTCAATGAAATGCAAAGAGGAAAAAAGAAATCAACAAAATCAATTTCGAATATGAGCGGCGAGCAAGTGAAGGAGATGATTGTGAGAGAAAAGAAGATGATAAATTCGTTTATTGTCATTATTATATAAATAGAAATGTTTAAAATAATATTTTGAATATCACACTCTTTCACACATACACATACACTGTCAAGGCAATTCATGATATCACAAAATATTTAAATGAAAAAAAAAATGAAAAAAATAATAATAAAAAAATGCCCTTTTTTCCTATTTGGCCAGTTACTGCAAACTGATCAACCTAATAAGTCAAATCAACTGTAAATTAGTGTTTGTTTTTTTCTTGAGAGAGAGACAAAGAAATAATAATCGTAATAATTAAGCGCATATATACAATTATTTTTAAAATCATATTACTTGTAATTTTTATGTATGTTTAGGACAACAACAACACAACAAACAGCAGGCAAAAGAAAAACAAAATAAAACGAAGTCATTTGAACTGAGGAAAGACGACGAGTGTATTGCATTTAAATTCCCAAATTAAAACACACCAAACCAAGTTGAATTATAAAAATTGATTGAAATTAAATGAAATGGACATGACTTTGTCTGCATGGAACGAATAAAAACCAAACAAAATGTGTAAAGCTAAACAAATGATCAAAACAAGTATCTCGGCCTATGGCCTGAGACAAGATGGTTTTGTTACGCTTTGCCAGCATCGCTCCATGAGATTCACGCCGCAAATTCATTGTGAAATGCCATTCAATGGACATATTCACCTCGATTACACACTTACTCACAATTTTAATAATATTTATATATACACACATTGACTCCCATCGCAAGTGTTCTGCACGGGATTTTTTTTTCTGTTTCAAGTCATTTTGTCAGCCATTCACTCTGCAAAGAGATTTCATCCTATTATAATCAAAGAAAATCCAAAGTTTTCATAAGTCTATGTGAGATCAAAGAGAATTATTCATCTCTATATTCTATCGATTCTATTCGAAATCATGACAGATGCGAATCAAAAATCAAATCCACGAAAAATGATCAGAACACTTGCGATTGGAGTGAGAGAAAAAAAGGAAA